CAAAAAATTTCCCTTATGCCCATTTGTATAAGGGAATATCTACTCCCACCCTAAACCCCAGGTAACTAATAATTTTTGCCTTTTCTAGATATTATTTCTCTATTTTTGCCTTTTCTAGAAATTTCATATAAATAGGATCATAAAACCTGTGGTCTTTTGTGTTTTAGTTTTTCCCACTTAGCATAATGTTTTTGAGATTCACCCATGTTGTTACATGTATCAGTAGTTCATTTCTTTTTGTTTGCTAATTATCTGTATCTTCATTGATATTCATTCATGATATTTGTCCTTAACTTTCTTTTTTATGGCATTTTTATCAGATTTACATAACAATGTTGTTCGTTTCATAAAATTAACTTGAAAGTTTTCCTTCATTATCTATGCTTTCGAAAAATTTACGTAGTATTGGGACTATCCGGTCTTTGAAGGCTTAGTAGAACTCTGTGTGAAACTATCCAGGCCTGGCGCTTTTTTGTGTGCTTTTTTTTGGAGGAGTTTCTTCATAACTTATTCTATTTCCTACATAGAAATTGGCCTGTTCAAAGCTTTCTGTCTTTTTCCTGGGGTCAACTTTGGTAAACTTTATTTTCCTAGGAAATTATCCAATTCTAAATTTATTTATATAGAGGTTTTAAAATCTTTTTCCTTTGTTTCAATGGATATTCCCCCTTTGTCATTTCTTATTTTGCATGTGTATGCTTGCTTCCTTTTTGTTTAACTTAGCTAGTTATTGACTTTTTCTTTAAAAAGATGGATTTTGATTCATTAAGTAGAACTATGTTTGTCCTCTATCTTGTTAATTTCTGCTTTTATCTTTATAATTTTCTCCCTTGAACTTTCATCTGGCCTACTTTGTGGTCTTTTTTCTTGCCTTTTGAGTTGAGATCTTACTTTTTCACTTTCCGTTTTTATCTTTTATTATTACTTAAGTGTTTAAGCCTATGTATTATCTACGTATTATCTTATGGTTGCTTTAAATCAACCCCCATCCATTCTGGTATGTGGAGTTTTCCTATAATTGTATTATCTTATGGTTGCTTTAAATCAACCCCCATCCATTCTGGTATGTGGAGTTTTCCTATAATTGTATTTTGGGAAGTCTATAATTTCAGTTTGTATTTTCCCTTTCAACCAAGAGTTAATGGAAGATTTTAAAATTTCAGAAAGAAAGAGCCTTTTTATGGTTTGAATTTGTTGTTAATTTCTGGTGTGGCTGCACTGTGATCAGAGGACATTGTTTTAATAGTTCTACTTCATGGAACTTACTGTTTTGTTTTTATGACTGTTCTATGTTTACTTGAAAGGAGAGCATATTCTCTATCATCAGGATGTAAAGTTCAGCATAAATCCACAACATCTTCTTTATTGGTTCTGTTGTTTAGATCTTTTAGATATTGTTGAGTTTTTTTTGTTCACTTTACCTGTCTTGTCCTAAGTGTGGCATATAATCTTCTATTATTCTTATGTTTCTATCAATTTCTGTTTCTATCTCTTGTAGCCATATAAAAGCGGTGGCTGTATTATTTGGTGCAGAGATATTAATAACTGTCATACTTTCATTGTGAAGCGTGGCTTCTAGCATTATAAAGTCCTTCTTTGTTACATTTAATGCCTTTTGAAGGGAATTCTACTTTATATGATATTACAATCACTATCCCTGCTTTCTTATTATTTCTGTTTCTAACTTTTCTGAATCACTTTCTTTTAGGTGTGCCTTTCGTATAAAGCATAAAGTTCAATCTTGTTTAGTGAGCAAATGCGAAAATCTTTTTCTTTTGATAAGTAAGTTAAGCTGATTCATATTGATTGATATGACTGATATGTTTAATCTCAACTCTGTCACATTATATTGCTTTACTATACTATAAAGCATGTGACTATACTTCACTATATTGCTTTAATATACTTTACTATACTATAATTACTGCTTTATTATGTGCATTTAAAAATGAAAAAATCCTCAAAACTCTAAGGAAAAAGACCACATTACTTACAAAAGCAAGAAAATCAGGCTGGCATTAGACCTTATATATATTATTTTATATTAAATGCATATTATTTTATATTTACTATATATAATTATTTTATATTTAATGTCTATTCCTGTAAGTGAGATGTCTTTTATTGCTTTTTAAAAAAATTCTTCTGGTATTGAGGAAAGAGGTTTTTTTGTTCTGGGCTTACTTTTGTATTTTATGCCTTTTACAGTACCCTGGCCCCTACCTAACCTTTTACTATCTGGTTTGTTACTTTTATATTACATTTTTTAATGCTCAACTTATTACCTAGGCAGCAGTCAATTAACTTATTCTACTTTGCCCTTTCCTTCCCCTATTTGAAAAACTGCGTTCTTTCTACTTTATCAGAGCACATGACATCCATACACTTTGATCTTTATCCCACCTCTGCTTTAGTCTTGGATCTATAGTTAAATATATCAAATGCTCATCATTAGACATTCTGCCAAAGGTTCCCCAGTCTTCTCTTAGTTGGATGAACATCATTCTCTAGGACAATGCAGTCAGCAGAACTTTCTGTGATGAAGGAGATGTTCTGTATCTACACTGCCTGATATGATAGCCACAAGCCACATATGGGGACTGAGCACCTGAAATGTGGCTAGTGTGACAGAGGACCTGAGTTTTACATTTTACTTAATTTTAATTAATTTAAATTTAAATTACCACATGTGGTAATTTAATTAGATTAATGTGGTAATGCAAATTAGACAACGCAGTGCTTGTGGATTCGACAGGAAGGAGTCATGTGCACAGTGTTCAACGAGAACTTGCATGCTTAAAACTGTTTTTCTATAACCTGGATACCTAAAAAACAACTTGGTTAGAACAAACAATCCTTGGCTTGCACTAAAAATGCTGCTCCACTGGTACCCTTCTTTGTATGTTGCTGCAGAAGTCTAATGCCAGCCTAATTTTCTTGCCTTTGTAAGTAATCTGGTCTTTTTCCCTAGAGCTTTGAGGATTTTTTCACTTTTAAAATGCAGTAGTTTTACCAGTCTATGTTTCAGAGCTGACCATTCCAAGTCAGTTTTATGAGGTAAAAATGGACCTTTTAATATAGAGGTTCAGATCTTCTTTCATTTCCAAAATGTCTTCTTGATTTACAGTTTTAAATATAAGTTCTGTTTCATTGTTGTTTTTCTTCTTCTTCTTCTTCTTCTTTGGGGTCTCCAATTATATGTATATTGGATCTTCTTTGCCTGTCTTCCATTTCAATCACTTTCTCTTTGACTCCATCTCATTTTCATTTTCTTGCTTGTTTCTCTGTCTTTCTTAAATAGCCCTTATTATTCAACACACTGTAATTCAGCCTTAATTTCTTTCCTAGGTTTAATCAATTCTAATTTTATTTCTTTTAGGTGGAGAAGGGGCTATTTTTGTTATCAGTTTTTAAATTTTTGATTCATTTCTTTGTTTGAGACTATTTAGTTCAGTTAGAAGTGTTGGAACCAAATGAAAACCATACAAACCAAATGAAAGCCATTTGGAACCAAATAAAACCTAAACTACCAATCAACAAGTTATTTTTCTTTTACAGCAAAATTGCCTTACAACCAATTTAGTTGTGTAGTGAAGGTGTTTGTGGCAAAACTGCTTGCAGCAAAGATGTTTATGGCAAAAATACTGGACACAGTCTAAAACAGCAAAGATAGTTCTATTGTAATTTGGTATTTATTTCTTATTTAAAATCAATTTGAAGTTCACAGTATTCTTTTTCTCCTAGTAAGAGTGAAAGTGTGGGTTAAGTGTGGTTTTATTTACTTTCCTTCTTAATCTGTATAGTTTTCTGGGAGGATGAGTGGACAAATTCTAACTTAGGAGGCCACATTATGCAAGGACAACCTGAAAGTCCCTCAAATCTTTTTTATTCTTATTGGTTATTACTGATTGTGATTTGGGAGTATTTTATAAACATTCTTCAAACAACCCAGGAAATACAGCAAAGGGCTAAGTTGGTGAACAAGTCTTCCTTGTGAAGACAAACCAAGTAACTTTCTTAAAACACCATGCATATGAGAAACAGATTCAGAAATTCAAGTCTCTCATATCCAATAATGAATCTAATTATGACTGAATGTGATATGATACACTATGGCTTACAGTTTTGTGGTGATTAAAAGTCCTTTCTGCCCATGCATAAATATCTACCATGAGCTAAAACAGAAGAAATTGTGTTTAGTTAAGAAAGTTATATAGAAGAAACAAACTAGAATCCACTTTCTTTGCTATTTTTGTCTCTATAATGATAATGCAAGAACATGACAGAGTGATTTTCCCATCTTAGGCTCTAGTAAAGTTCATTCATCTATCCATCCAACATTTATCAAGGACCACTAAATTGCCAGACAAGAGGGATACAAAGATACCTAAAACACAGTCCCTGCCTCACAGACAAGCACAGGAAATTGAGTAAGTTGCAGAAGGTTAGATACAGTATGGTATCCTTTACCAAAAATTTAAAAATCTGCGAACCATAGTATACATACTTTTAAGGATACATATATATGTAGCATAAAGACAAAAACATTTGAGAAAATGATAATCAAATTCAGTACAGAAGTTAACTCTGGAGGGTGAGCTGGGAAGATGACAGAAGTAAAATCAAGCAGGAATACAAAGGGAGCTTCAATTTTTATCTATACTAGTTTATTTCTTTAAAAAAGAAAAAGTAAGATCTGAAACAAATATTGCAAAGTGTTAAGCTCTGACAACACTGAGTGGTAAGATACATGGGTATATTTGTTACGTTATCTCCATTCGTTTCTGTCTGCTTAAAATATTTTATGAGTTTTCAAAAATTTTATCAAAATGCAGTTCAATTTACTGGCAAGATTTGTGGAATTTTACTTCAGACGTTTCAGAATATATTCAAGTTCTGTAATAAACAATACAAAATTGAAAACCAACTTTAGGAATGAATGAGAAAAACAGCCCATCTGAACACTGTATATCATTTTTTAGATGAAGTGTTATACATACCGGTGAGTGCTAAGTAAGAAGCAATGTACCGCTTTTCCAGTCCATCTCTAACACTCTGAATTGCACCAAAAATTGGAGGTATAATCATAATCAGGTTACTCACTGTATTCCCTATAGGACAGAAACACAAGAAGATAATCAGATTCATCAATACCACTGTAAATAAAGATACATGCACTTGGCCCTTAACAAAAACAAAATAGGTGACTTCTCAGCAACATAGTGGAAAGATATTTACAAGGCGCTAAAGAAAAATAATTCTCCACTCAACAAAAATTTCTTACAAGAATCCAAGTAAAATAAAGATACCCTCAGACATATGAAACTAAGAATTTTCAACTAGAACATCAACTAAAGGAAATTCTACATTCCAAACATAAAAAGGAAACGTATCTCAGAAAGAACCTCAAAGATACAGCAAAAAAAAAACGAGTTAAAGAAGGCAGCCTACACCAATGCTACTGGAAGGGTGATCCACAGATACAGCATCACAAGATCAAACACAGAATTCAGTTAATTTTGTCTGTTGAATCAAACAGCAAAAACTTGGGGTTTGCATTTTGCATGTCTTTTTAAAATTTCATTTTTGTAGCAATGTTTTTAGTTTCTAGTTTCTATGTTTCTAGTATAAGACAAAAAGTAATGGATCTTAATCTGATTTTTGTTCCTGTCTTTAAAAAACAAAGGTCAAACATGAATAGCAAAGAAACAATAACCCCAACAGCAGAAGTAGTAAAATGAGAAAAGAAATGGCTAAACTATTTTATAAACTGATTCTAAGTAGAATAAAGTGGCACAATACATTCAAAATTCCAAATGAATGATTTTCAATATGGGAGCTGATATCAAGATAAATATCAATTAACAGGCCTATAGAGAACACTCCACCCAGAACAACAGCATATACATTTCTCAGGAGTACATGGAACATTTTCCAGGATAGAACATATGCTTTTTGTTGTTGTTACTGACGTTGAGTTGATTCTGACTCCTTGTGACCCTGTGTACAGCGTAGAACCCTGCCTGGTCTTTTTGCACCATCCTCTCACCTTCTGGTGCCATATCAGACAATGCTCTACTGCTATTCATAGGGTTTTCATGGCCAATTTTTTCAGAAGTGCCCAGGTCCTAGTATGTCTAGTCCATAAGCTACAATGAAAACTGTCCACCACGGGTGACCCTGTTGGTATTTGAAATACAAGTGGCATAGCTTTCAGCATCACAGCAAAATGCAAAAGACACAGTATGACAACTGACAGATGGGTGGTGTGGTTCCCACAGGAAATGAAGGCTGTGGTGGGGAAAGCACCAAATCTTAACCACTAGACCACCAGGGCTGGCTACTAGATCATATGTTAGCTATAAATTAAGCCTCAATAGACTTAAAAAGATAGTTATACAAAGCATCTCCTCCAACCACAGAATGAAGTTAGAAATAAATAACAGAAGGAAAACGAGAAAATTCACAAATTTGTGGAAATTAAACAACACATTCTTAAACAACCAATGGATCAACGAAGAAATCACAAGGGAAATTAGAAAATACTTAGAGATAAATTAAAATGAATATACAACATATCAAAATTAATGGGACACAGAAAAAGCAGTGCTAAGGGGGAAATTTATAGCTATAAATGCTTACATTAAAAAGACAAGATCTTCAAGCTAAAATGAAAGGATGCTAATTAGTAACATGAAAATATACAACACACTAGTAAAGTGAGTATATAGTCAAATTCAGAACACTCTAATAACTGTAACATGATGGTGTATTAATCATTTAACTCCAGTATAAAGGTGAAAGGACGAAAGTATTAAAAATAACTACAGCTACAATAATTTTTTAATGAATACACAATAAAAAACAGGTAAAGTGTGATATCAAAAACCTAAAAGGGGCTGGGGCCAGCCTGGTGACACAGTGGTTAAGTTCGCACGTTCCACTTCTCGGTGGCCCAAGGTTCGCCAGTTCAGACCCCGGGTGAAGACTTGGCACACCATGCTGTGGTAGGCGTCACACATATAAAGTAGAGGAAGATGGGCATGGATGTTAGATCAGGACCAGGCTTCCTTCAGCAAAAAGAGGAGGAGTGGCAGTAGTTAGCTCAGGGCTAATCGTCCTCAAAAAAAAAAAAAAACCTAAAAGGGTAGAGTTTTAGTATGTGAAGTTACATTGTTATCAGCATAAAAGTGACTGTTGTATCTACAAACTGTTTCATGTAAGCCTCATGGTAACCACGAAGGAAAGACCTACAGTAGACACACAAAAGATAAAGAGGAGGGAATCAAAGCATACCACTACAGAAAATCACCAATTCACAAAGGAAAGCAGCAAGAAAGGAAGAAAGAAATAAAGGAACCACAAAACAGTGAGAAAACAATTAATAACACAGCATTAGTTAAGTCCTTACTTATCAATAATTACTCTAAAGGTAAATGGATTAAATTCTCCAATTAAAAAGCATTTTGTGGCTGGATGGACCATAAAACAAGACCTAACTATATACTGGACACAAGAGATTCACTCCAGCTTTAAGGATACACAGAGGATCAAAAAGAAGGGATGGAAAAAGATATTCCATGCAGGTGGAAACCAAAAGAGAGCCAAGTAACTAAACTTATATAACACAAAACAGACTTTAAGCCAAAACTTGGAACAACAAAGAAGACCATGATGTAATATAATAATAAAGGGTTAATTCATCAAGGGGATATAACAGTTGTAAATATATAAGCACCCAACATCAGAACATCCAAATATATTAAGCTATAGATCTGAAGGGAGAAATAGACAACAATACAATAGTAGTAGGGAACTTCAATGTCCCACTTTGAACAATAGATAGATCAGCCAAACAGAAAATCAATACAGAAAAGTTGAACTCAACTACACTTGAGGCCAAATGGACCTAACAGACATACAGAACATTTCATCCAACAGCAGTAGAATACACATTCTCCTCAAGCACACACAAAACATTTTCCAGAATAGATCATATGATAGGTCACAAAACAAGTGTTAGCAAATTTAAACAGTGAAATCATACAAAGTATCTTTTCCAACCACAATGGTATAAAACCAGAAATAAAAAATGAAAGGAAAACTAGAAATTCACAAATATGTGGAAATTAAACAACACACTCCCAAACAACCAACGGGGCAAAGAAGAAATCAAAAGGTAAATTAAAAAATACCTTGAGGGGGCTGGCACCGTGGCTGAGCGGTTAGGTTTGCGTGCTCCGCTGCAGGCGGCCCAGTGTTTCGTTGGTTCGAATCCTGGGCGCGGACATGACACTGCTCAGCAAACCACACTGAGGCAGCATCCCACATGCCACAACTAGAAGGACCCACAACAAAGAATATACAACTATGTACCAGAGGGCTTTGGGGAGAAAAAGGAAAAAATAAAATCTTTAAAAAAAAAAAAATACCTTGAAACAAATGAAAAATGGAAACACAACATACCAAAACTTACAGAATGCAGTAAAGTAGTTCTAAGAGGAAAGTTTATAGCAATAAACACCTACATTAAGAAAAAAGGAAGATCTCAAATAAACAACCTAACTTTACATCTCACAAACTAGGAGGAAAAAAACAGAACTAAGCCCAAAGTTAGGAAAGGGAAATAAATGAAATAAGTCAATGAACTAAGAGCTGGTTTTCTTTCTTTCTTTTTTTTAGGAGGGAGATTAGCCTTGAGCTAACATCTGCCGCTAATCCTCTTCTTTTTGCTGAGGAAGATTGGCCCTGAGTTAACATGCATGCCCATCTTCCTCCTATTTTATATGTGGGATGCCTGCCACAGCATGGCTTGATGAGCAATGTCTAGGTCCACACCCAGGATCCAAACTGGTGAACCCTGGGGTGCCAAAGCACAATGTGCAAACTTAACCACTGTGCCAGCAGGCCAGCCCCAAGCTGGTTTTCAGAAAAGATAAGCAAAACTGACAAACTTTTAGCTAGACTAACTCCAAAAAAACAGAGGACTCAAATAAATAAAATCAGAAATGCAAGAGGAAATTACAACTAATATCACAGAAATACAAAGGATCATGAGAGATTACTATGAATGATTATATGCCAACAAATTGGAAACCCTACAAGAAATGGATAAATTCCTGCATATATACAATCCACCAAGACTGAATCAGGGAAAAATAGAAAATCTGAATACACCAATAACAAGTAATGAGATTGAATCAGTAATCAAAAACCTTCCAACATAGAAAAGCTAAGGACAAGTGCTTTCAGTGGTAATTCTATCAAATATTTAAAGAAGAATTAACACCAATTCTCAAACTCTTCCAAAAAAAACAGAACAAGAGAGAATACTTCCAAACTCATTTTACGAGTCCAGCATTACCTTGATACCAAAGCAAGATAAGGACACTACAAAATAAGAAAATTACAGACCAATATCCCTGGTGAATACAGATGCAAAAATTCTCAACAAAATATTAGCAAACTGAATTCAACAGCACATTAAAAGGATTATACACCATGATCAAGTGGGATTTATTCCTGGGATGCAAAAATGGTTCAACATATGCAAATCACTAAATGTGATACACCACATTAACAGAATAAAAGAAGTCATATGATCATCTCAAGAGATGCAGAAAAAGCATTTGGCAAACAACATCCTTTGATGATAAAAACACTCAACAAATTGGATATAGAAGGAACACACCTGAACACAATAAAGGCCATATATGACAAACCCATAGCCAACATCATACTCAATAGTGAAAGGTTGAAAGTTCTTCCACTAAGATCAGGAACAAGATAAGGGTGCCCACTCTAAACTACTCCTATTCAACATAGTAACAGAAATCCTAGCCAGATCAATCAAGCAAGAAAAAGAAATAAAAGTCATCCAAATAGGAAAGGAAGAAATAAAGTTGCCTCATTTGCAGATGATGTGATATCACATATAGAAAATCCTAAAGACTCCACCAAAAAAACTCTAGAACTAGGGGCTGGCCCATGGGCGTAGCAGTTAAGTTTGCATGCTCTGCTTCGGCAGCCTGGGGTTCACAGGTTCAGATCCCAGGTGCCGACCTACACACTACTCATCAAGCCATGCTGTGGCAGGTGTCCCACATATAAA